AGTTTGCGATGACAGCTCTGAGTCGGCCCGGTTGTTGTGGCATCCCGGTACTGGGCCCGCAGTCTGTTGTTCGCTCACAGTTTGGAAATTCATCACTGAGTTAAAACTTAAAACGTATCACACAAATAGTTGTGAATAATTGCATAAAAAATCCGAAAATACTCGACAGGAATTTAATTCGTTCGATTACAAGTCAGCTGTGTTTACAAACAAATACAAATACGCAGTGGAGGTCAACTGAATGATCGTGTCTGACAACCACTGAGAAACCTTGCATATTCCCGCCACAGTCAAATTAGTGTGTAATTTATTCATATATTCGGAAGAAGTATTCCTTATTTGGCAGGATTCTTTATTAGGAATATACATATGGAACAGTAGGGCGGGAATTACCGGGGCAACGACACAGTGATCGTGTTTAAATATTCAAACTGTCGTTTGGCCTACAGAGGTCATTGGATATTCCCGTTTAAAACCCCCATTTTAAAGCGATATTTGGACACTGTGAATGAAAAAAATACATGGATATCCAGTGGAAATACAACAGAGGCGAAATAAGGACTTGCAGTGAAAAATAGCAACAAAACTGGGATTGCCTTTTTTACAGAACCAGCGACTACGGCAATTTTCACGTGTTGACCTCTGCTGGCACGCAAGACTGATTGCGATGACAGTCTGATTTTTCGACATTAAACTCGCCGACAAGGAAAAACAACATTTTATATAGGTAATTTATTTAAATAATGTTTTCAGTTCAGATGAATATAAATTTTATATGTATTATGCGTTTATTTTGGATAAAAACTGTGGTAGAATAAATGAACTTTCACCAAACATGCCGCTGTGTTTGTTATTTATGCAAATCTTCACAGCTCTTCACAGATACCATCCGAAAAACCTGTTGTACAAGAAAAGTACGAGGACAATTCGTATATAACTTTCAGTCTGGACGTACCTGTATTTCGAATTATTTTCATTAACAATTTATTTGTTCATGCAAAGATCAGGGGAGATCAGAATCTACTTCTGTTTCAATCTATGAAATACCGGCCGTTTACGGCCGCATTGGGATTTTGACAGTGCATTAACGGGTGGCCTTTTACGGCCGAAATGGGTTATCTTTGGTCAGAAATAAGCGGCCGTATATGGCCGCATTGGGGCGCAAAGGGTTAAGTAGTTATTCTAGCTGCCCTCGTTTGTACCCACCCACACCCTGCTATCTTTAAAAAAAATACTTCTTCCGGGTTGCATGTCTTTTGGTGTTATTTTGATTTTTTATATTTTTGTCCTACCCTCGCCCATTGCTTGGTAGATTACGTATGCGCAAATAGAATTACATAGAGTCTGACAGTAATCAAAAATTACCTCTAATACCTAAATAAACATGTCAACCAAACAATTCATACTCCCCTTCATATTTTAATATATTAGGTCACAGTCAAACGGACTAGACAAATAAAGCAATATCATAATCGGATACTTACTAGACGTTAGCAAATAGCCGCCATGTTTGATCGAATTCCATGGCAACGGCGGTGATAACATTGGTAAGACCTCACTATCAAACCATAAATCCGATTGGTCTACCTCTTTGATTAGATCAACTAACATTGGATGTGGCTGAAATAAAATCATTACACATATTCAATAAACACAGCAAAACTAATGAGACCTTGCTCATAGGCAAAATATCATAATTAAAAGACTATAATAAAATATATATTGAGATGCAATACATTATAATATAATATAGGCAAGAGATACCATAAATTACAAGACTTTGTTGCAATAACAGAACGGCAGCGATTTTTTTCTTCAAAAATGGCTTAAAATTTCAATTAAAGGAAATTTCCAGTAGCGAAAATTGAATGTTCTAAGAGAAACAAACACATACAATCAAATCAGATGTGGCACAATCATGTCATGTCTGTCTATATGATGTGTTCATGACCTTTACATGTGTAACTAACACACACAGTGCTCCATAAACAAAAAATCCATCAGGTGACAATAGATAGTAATTTGCAAAATATATTCATCACCAACATGGCACCCATAGCAGGGTTGAAAAGATTATATTTACCTTCAAAAATCCAACCTGTTTGATATTACGGTATGCATACATGTGATAAAAAGCTGGTATCATTTTCCTGTTGACAAAACACACATACACAACCTTTATATCTATATTTTTTAAATGAAATTTTAACCCAATTATTTTTACAAATTATACTCACTTTTCTTTTTTGCCTGTTATCTTGCCGACATCTATTTTGATTTCTTTCAACAGCAGCTCTGTTAGCTTTATACCAAGCTGAAATGAAAGACGTACATGTATGTTTATGATGCAAATATCCAACCTGGGAAAACTTCCCACTCAAGTTCTTATCAACATTTTTGAAAACTTCAATTCAGTGTTGACAGCTATAACTCATCGTGATAAGATAATTTAAGTAACCTTAAATATATTAGGAAATCCAAAAAAACGATGAAAGAAAAGAAGGAATTAAAAGACTAAAACGTAAATAACACTTACGATAATTAAACCTCTACCCCATGGTAAGGCTTCATAGTCCTGTAAACAAGCAATAACAGTTTACTCTTTACAAGAAATTTACATTGATACATGTGTGAGAGGAAGGCACCAATTAGAAATGTTCTACTATGTTTTACTAGGGAGCTAACTATTATAAAGCATGAAGCTGGGCACTCTGTTTCAGGCCAAATTTGACAAAAATCACCTATAAATTATAAGTCGTGTTCATCATACTTCCTTCATTAAGAGTTCATAGAACCCTCAAAATCCTGAAATGATGCAAGAACATTTTTACCCTGGTTTCCATGGTGAGATTTCTTCATTCAATTTTGCTTGGTGACATAGGATGGAAAAGTTACTAATATTTTTTCAAATACAGTCAAACCTGTCTATAAAGGACAGTCAGTGGACTGAGCCAAACTGTCCTTTATAGACAGGTGGTCTTTATATGGAGGTGGCCTAATTTATTCATTTAATCATGAATATTAATTAGGACCGGAATTTTAAGGTAGATCATAAGCAATACATAAAAACAAACCTACACATTGTACAATGAATATATCTTTTACAATAAAAGTCACTCATTTTCATCTGGATAATTACAGCTTTACTTTTTTACTACAAATTATATCATGTAAATTCACTGAAACCAAGTGATTCTGCCTATGGATTCATTGGTGTATTTAATGCATAAGAACAATTGTCAACGATCGGTCGCATTGGCGTTTCAGCTCGGACTTTCACACTCTCGCCAAGCAGTCTTATTCCCCAGTCTCTTACACATATTCCATCACAGGCGGTAATCAGTCCCATCGTTAGTATTGTCGATTGTACACTGTGACAAAATGCACAGACAAAGTTGCCGTGATTGAAAAACAAACAAGCATTAAC